TATCTACATTTTGTATTTCAAGTGGTATCAGAGGGAATTTTTTGAGTCATATAAGGGCCAGAACGGCTTTTTACATTGAAACGAACCTCATCAAATCCTAGGAGTAGTAACATTTCTTTTATCAAATAATTCAATAAACAGCATCGAGTCATACTGATTTCAGTTCCTCTTTCTCACTGCTTGGCGCCCGTATCATATCCTGTTGCATTACATGGTTTGCTATTTGGCTGTGCCATGAGGAGAAATAAGCACTTTTCTACATTTTCTAATTTTAAAGAAAATGCTAAAACATTATTTTAGGTATGCAATGGACACTGTTTTGCTCTGACATTAATGTATCCAGGAATACAACCGTGTTTTTCTTCAAGAAGGAATATTTTCACATTAGAGATTAGTTTCCAAAAATTTGCTAGATTCTGTAGTTCATGGCAATGGCTTATAGAAGGACAGGTGCATATTTGCTTTCTAGTGTTGTTTTAAGAATATTGTTCATTATACCTGTTCTTCTTAAAATACTTTTCTAAAAGGCCCATTTAGACTGTCAGCTTGGAACACTGTATCAGTTTCCAAACTCATGCTTAATATGTTTTATAATTTCAAATCAGAGCTTACTTTAACAATGTAATGTTGATATAATCAAAAGCATAAACAAATTAAAATTACATCTATAAAATTATGGATTTTTTTTTTTTTGCTTTAATCTGCTTCTTAAAATTCTTGATGTTCAGTGAGATATATAACAAAAATGTTCAGTTTGTACAAAAAATACCTCAACTGCATTTTATACTTATGTCCTTGGAGTAAATTTTACTCTTGAGACTTCACATATGTGTATTTGTATTTGAGAAATATCTCACCTGTCCAGCTATTGCTGAGATGGCTCTTGAGCATTTTCTCTGAAAATTTCAGTAGCTCTTTCCACAGAAGATCATAATGATCAGAAACAAAGAGATCTTAACTGTATGGAATTTTATGAGTCTAATCTTACTACAGTTTGGGAAGGCTGAGGTTTGAAATTGGTTTGGGAAGGTTCTATGTACCTTTGTTCCTGTATATATACACCTATATATCTTACTTTAGTTCAAACAAAAGATCATCAGGATGCATCAGGAACTCCTTCTTCTTGCTCTCTGTAGAGAGTTTGCCAGTCACTGGGATTCAGGTTTAGCTGTGATTGATTTTTTTTTTTTTTTTTAAATTTTTCTAAGGATTTTCACTGTGCTGTGTGTTATGTGGGATAAGAAATCCCATGCCAGAAAAGTCACTCTAAAACCAATATATTCCTTTTAGAGAAGGAAAAATTCTGCTGGATGGTCTTGGACAACCTGCTCCTTCTCTTCCTTAGCTAAAGGCATCTACATTTGACTTGATTCTGAATTTGTTTTTCAGCTGTGCTCACTCTCTTGTCATTCTTATGGTTAATGTAGTGAACATGGGCAAAAGAAAATAATCTCCTTCTCCAGAAGGCTTTTCACACTCTAAAATCTGTGAACTCCATTTCCACAACAGTTTCTTTGATGCATTATCAAGTGTCCTCAGCAGAGGAGCTTTTGCAACTTGTGATCAGAGAAAAGTGTATTTGGCAGAAACGAAGCTGGGGAAAAGAGCAGAGGGCAATTCAAACAGCAAGAGCACTTTTCTACTTGGGATCATTCCACACAGGATAATGTGGCCTGAATATGAGAGGCTGAAGAGACACTGTCAGCAATTATACACTGTTGTCAATCCTTTTTTTTTTTTTTTCAACACACCCAAACACAGTGAGCAGGGAAAAATATTGCAAAATTATTTTTTCCTTGCTTTTCTCAAATCAAAGGGAAATCAGCTATTGAATATGCACAACCAATAAAGAACTGTGAATACCAGTCCTCCATTCTAACAACACAACTAAATATAACACAGTTTTTTCCTTTCCTGGGTGTAAATAAATGTGCATTGCCATTGCTGCCATGCACACAGAGCACATGTTGCCCAAAACAGGTATTTTACAGTAACCTCTGTTTTTTCACAAGTTTCCTCTTTTGCATGGAACAATCTTGGAATTTAAGTGTTAAAAGTGATATTTTTGGCCTGAGTGTGACAACAAAATGTGACATAGAGAGCAAACAAACAGACCATTGTTTTCCCTTAGTTCATTCACTTCTGTCAAGAGTATTTCTTGGCAGTTCTTTTCCATTTTATCAGACCAAGCTCACCATCTCAAAGGATCTTAGAATCACAAATTATTTTATTTTGTAATCACATCTTTTCCCTTGTTTCATCTCCAGTCTGTTTTTTAGCACTCAGCTTTGCTGTATTACCCCAGATGTCTCAAATAATTCAAGGAAACTACTTGCTTTTGGGCACTGTCCTCCCCTCATCCTCTATTTTTAAGATGCAGTGTCTCTCTTCCATTTGCTATTTCTGCTACCTTTTCTGTAGGCAGAATAAAAAAGTGTTGGAAAAGTGTTGGAAAATCTTTCATGCCTTTTATCTTCTTTTGTTCTTTACCCATACATAAAACTGCACAAGATCCTCAATAACTATGTTAATGAGCTCAACACTGAAGGTGTGTGTTTTGCAGATCCACCTGTTCTCTTTGCAGGACACCCATTTGAAGACAAATAGTTCTCCAGCTCTCTGCTATGTAGATCACTTCTCTGTCTCACAGCCCAGAAAAACTGAAATATTGTTTTCTTCCTCGTGTTTCCCCAGTTCTTCCCAGTGTTTCTAGTTTCAGAGTCCACAGGCAACATATTTGCCAAGCACAAGCTTTATGAGTTGGTTTCTTCTCCTGGCAGCTTTAAATGCCTTAATTTGTGTCAGGTGGTGTGGCCACACAAAAGCGAGGACAAACCAGCTGTCAACAATTTGGGTGTTTTTAAAAACACTTTAAGAACTCAGATGTCTCTGTCTGAATTTTTCCATGGGCATATGATAGTAGGTATGTGGAGCTACGTCTCATCTATGATTATGAAAACTTTTCACATAGGCTTTTCAAACATCCTTACCTGTTACTGTTCATTTTTTCTTTGATGAGATACCTGTAGGGGAAAGACCATGTAACTGAGATCTCTGTTTTGACCCTATGTCAAATACTCTGGCACTGCTGGCAAGTGCCATATTTACAAATATGTGTCTGAAAGCATATAAATGCATTGTTATTCAGTGTAAATAGAAGGAACCACATCAGCTGCAATGATCATCCATTACAGTTGCTTCCCCTCTTTCAGCTGTGTGGAAAAATATAGGGGAGCACTCCCCAAGAAACATCTTATATGTAATGGCAATGATTTGCTAATGAGAGCCTAATTTTATTAACCACAGGGTTGTTCCGTGTATGCCATGGGAATGGAGTCACTGGCAGAAGAATATCCTTGCATTTCAAGCCCTTGAGGAATTATGCAGGTAGGGGCAATTTCAGACCTGCCTAAGGCTGGGCCTTAGTGAACATCATTTAGAAGGGAAATAGAAGACAAGGTCGCCTTATAGAATAAAAATTCATTAGGGATTCAGGCAACACAGATTCAAAAGCCTGGTGCAAGCAGTGAAGAGGTTTGCACCTGATCTTTCCAAATCCCAAAGAATGTCCTGGCTATGGACACACATTTGTCTTTCTTGCCTACTGGGAAACTCCTTTCCACCAGAACTGGTATGCACGTGGCTAATAGGCTGCTCTTATTCATCATGTATGAAAAAAGCATGATAGGAAGCCTTGCAAAGAACAGCAGAAGAGTGCATTTTAGAAAGAACAAATTTATATCCAGGACTCTCAAAATTCACTTCTAAAGTTAAGCCATAGGCTTTTGAAGTCAGGAAGCTTTTAGCCACAAAGAACTGATTCCGTGTGCATCCCTGTTCACCAAGTGACTGCTATTAAAGCACCCAAAATAACAAAAGAGTAGTTCCCAAACTAGGATATCCCATCATGAAATACTTCAGTGAAAGACATGAATTGGCAGCTGCCAACATGTTCTGATTAAGCGGTACTTCCATGAGAATGTTTATTTTCCTTTAAATTTAGAATAAATTCAAGTCTGCCCTCCCAACCTTGTTACTAATTTGAAGTGTATCGGTGATACGCAGAGAGGCTGAAGCAATGTAGCTTTAAGACCCGAAACTGAGAGGACTCCCTTCTTTTTGCTGGCTGCCAGTGGAAAGGGCATTGAGAGCTGCAGTCTTGCACAACCCCGGAGCTCATCGCGCACAAAGTAACTGGTTATTCCCCGGTGGGACTGGAACAAAGGAGAAATAAAACACTTCGGTGCCGATCGTTCGCAGCGCGGCTGTGACAGCTTCATGTACTGCATGTCACAAACGCCGGCAAGGGAGTTCCCAGCTGGGCTGAGGGGCCTGACGAAAAAAAAAAAACAAGTCACACACAGCCACCGATGTGGAGCCAGAAAGGAAACCGCTGAGACTGTGAACCACGGCTTTCAAACAGCCAGCTGGTGCTGCAACACCCCTCGCCAGCGCGGCTCTGTCAGAATTCGTATCTACGGCACCTTCGGGCGCAGCTGCGCTCTCTACCAAATCCCATTTAGCTATTTACCAAACAAAAATATGTAACAAATATATTACATTTATAATCATGTATTGTCATAGACCGAATGTATTTTGAAACACAACCTTCCCAGTCCCCAGGACCCCCGAGCGCTGCCGGGTGCGGTACCCTGCCCCACCCCCGGGAGCCGTGGGGACCGGTCCCCGCCTCGCAGGGCGAAGATGATGCCGCTCTTTTCTGTGCCGTCTCAAAACCCAGCACCTGGCACTGACTCCCCAATCCTCCCCGGCAGCGCCGGAGACGGCAGTGAGGGGCACAGGCGATGGTTTCGCGGGACCGGGAGCCCCCGCCAAGCGGCTCCGGTGAGGCTCTGGGAAGGGATCGGTGGGGATGGGAGAGTGCCCGAACCCCTCTGCATCGCCAGTGCCGGCTGTCCCGGGTTCGCACAGCCCCCAGTATGTGGGCTGGCCGTGCACCGGCCCCGGGCGGGCAGACACGGAAATCCCCGGCGGGAGGAGGCGTGGGGAGGGAAAGGGGAACGGCCCACAGAGCGGGCAGCTGCCGGCCTGGCTGAGCTCAGTTTAGCTCAGCTCAGCTCAGCTCGCCACGATGAAGCCGCGAGGGTAAGTAGTGACCCGGGGCCGCGGGAAAAGGGGACCTGCCGCCCCCCTCATTCATCCCTGGGGCACGGGGGGAACACGCCGGCTGTCTCCGGGACAGGGATGCACATCCATCCCCCTTTTAGGAAAACCCGAGCTGCGCTGCTGCAGCGGGCAGGGAAAGCGCTGCCAGGGGTGGGCTGATTGACTGGAGTCGGGGCGAGGGGACCCCTCCTCATCCCCGGACAGCGACTGGGACAGCAAAGGCTCCCGGAGGCGGCTCCCGTCCGCCGGCGGGTCCCGCAGCGCTCCCGGTGCTCGGAGCCGAGGGACAGGGGGATGCGGGTGTTGCCAGAGCCCTCCCCGTCAGCCGGGCAGGGACCCCTTGTCTCTCCTCCTTTGAGGGCTACAGGTAATTAACAGCCATTTTATGGAGATTTTTAACCGAACGTGAACGATGAGAGATGACTCAGCTGGGTTTTATTGCCCAGGTTGGCGTTTCTTTAGGGCAGGTGTCAGAAAAGCTCCGCAGGTAATCTGTTTAGGGCACTTGCTGATGCGAGAAGAGTCGTGTCGCTACAACTTTAGGGGGTAAAAGTGGATCTCAAGGGGGTAAAGTGGATCTCAAATGGTTGCTGTAACTGAAAGCATCTTTTGCCTGGCAAAAGCTGTGATAGAGCAGCAACGTTCGGTGGCTCTACCATGAATTGTGATGGAAAAAATGCTGGTTGGAAAGAATAATCTCATCAAATGAAAATGTATGAAAGGGGAACTGCAACTTTCTCCTGTTTCACACGGCATTAAAAAAAAAAAAAAAAAAAAAAAAAAAAAAAAAAAAAAAAAAAAAAAAAAAAAAAAAAAACAAAAAAAAAAAANAAAAAAAAAGCAGAAGAGGAAAAGTGTGAGAAAGAATTGAAAAAAGGAAAAAAAATTATAAAATTAAAATATCTTTTTAAAAAGTCAGAGAGAACCTAAGAAACCAGTGCAGCTACACTTACCCTTACTGGAGCTCACTGCTAGTGTGGGGGACACAGGAGCTGAGTATGCACAGAGGGCAAAACAGAGGTTTTGCTGCAGGCAAGAGCATTTCTCCCTTTTTCCAATGGGAGCTTGGAATTTATGCTATTCCAGAGGAATATGGTGGGTTGACACTGCCCCCACATAACCACAGCTGCAACCTCCTCCAAGTAAGAGGATGAGATCTGTCCAATCTTGGTTGTGCATCATTTATTAAAATAAGAAATCAGGATCTGCTTTGTATACATACATATGAGAATCAGTTCTGGCTGACTGTCTGAATGTTTGTTGGCATGAGCAAAAGCCTACATGGGAAATTCCCTAAGGAGTCCCTTAAAGATCAGTCAGTTGTTTTTACCATTTCATTCAAATGAGTTGCTATATCCATAGTTTCCATTTGGGTGGGGATTGATAAAACAAACACAGGATTAAGAAAGACTAAGGACTACATTGAACTGAGATCATCAAGACAGATCTCCACAAGCTTGGCACAAAAGTGATGACTCCCGCTCATTATAAAAATACAACAAAGCCACGTGCAAAAGGCACCAAAAGTCACTGCCAGAGACAGAACAGAGCAGAGCTGACTGTCTGGAATGTTTAGGTATGATTTCTTAGTAGAGTTCCTTCAAGCCTGATTGCAGGTTCACTAAAATAAGTAATAGAGCGGAAATGTTCTACTCTGGTCATCCACTTAAACTTTTGAAACCTCATCTATGAAACCATTTCAAAGGACACAGAAAAGAAATACTGTTTGTTCAGAGTGCTTCTCCCCTAAACTTTCTCCATCTCAGTCTCTGGAGATGGGGCTTAAAGTGGAGGTAGATTTTGTGTCGGGAACGTTCTCTGCTTTCTCCACGGGAAGCTGAATATGCTGGGGGGGATTATAACTTTGGGGGGGCAGGTGGGAGTTAGAGACACTCCTCCACAGCAGAGGAGACCCACATTGTGTCTGGGGAAGCTGGTAGGAATAAAGCTGTGCAGAAACGATGCCAGGCCTGGGAAGTGGAGTATGAATTCCTGTTCTTGGCTGGACAAAAGAGCAGAAGCTGTGGGGAAAGGGCAGAAAGCTTGGGAGAGAGAGAAGGGATGTTGTAAAGCACAGGTGATGGGGAAAAGCGAGGTGAGAAGTGGCTGCTGGGGGAGCGAGCTTAGGTTAGGGCTTGGAGGGAGGAGGGTCGACAGGGTTGGGAGGGAAGGCAGTGAGCGGTCTGGGCAGGAGATCCTGTAGCTCTATCCTGGCTGGACATGGACTGTTGGGGGCATCTCTACCCATTGCCCCAGCCACGGGCTGGTTCAGTGTTGGACCTGGATGAGAGTTGAGAACAACCAGGGAAGGGAGCTGTCCCCAAGCAGCGTGGCCTCACAGTCCTGCTTGCTTGCAAGAGTGAGCTGAGTAAACCAGCAACGAGCCAGTGCTCATGTCCCTCTGCCCATCAGCTCAGCTTTGCAAACCTTATTGCACCTGGGGCAATATCAAGGTGGGCAACTGCAGCCCCAAAACTCTTGTGCCAAAACCTTTCCTTTCACTTTCCCCAGCACTCTGGAGAAAGGAGGGCACAATGTGTAACCAGGCGTGATGGTGAAAGGCTACTTTAAAGCAACTCCTAAGAAAGTGCAGCACATTTATCTTCCTTAAAGCCCTGTGAGATGACAGTTAAGTCACTTGGACTTTATAGACAGGTTAAACTGGGTTTTCCTATAGCATCAATTTCCTATAACACTCTTGGGTAACTCCTGCATAGATTTGCCCCTCCTAAGTAACCAGCAAAACCTTTGCACAGCTCCCCACTATCAGCACGATTCCTGTTTACACATTTTTAACCGAGCGCACAAAAGGATGGGCAATGCTGTCAGCTGCTCTTTGTCCTTTAACCAGATAAAACCATAACTCCCTGAGTTTCAGCAAAAGTATGAAAAGCCTGGGTTTCAACCTCAACATCCACTGTCCTTCCCAGTGACCCAGATAGCCTCCAGGGCCCGTTTGTCCATCTTTGTCCCATTTGCCAATCCAGTTTGTTTTTCATAAGGGAGAGAGGCACAACAACATCTTCATGCCCTCTGCTCGGATTCCAATATTAGCGCATTTTGCTGCTATTCATGGCCTTGGCCACCCACCCACAGTTATGAGCAGAAGTTTTGCAGCTGCCAAAAATGCAAATGCTTAATGGGGCATTACATGGTAGCAGTATCTAATTTACCTACTCCTGCCACTGTACGAAAACAATCGATACTGGGTTTATTGCTTATTTAAACAAGTTAGATTGTAAAGTCAATCATGTGTAACACTCTTGTTTGCTTTTACTTTTAGTTATGGATTTCTGTTATTGCTCCTTCATCTCCTGAGGGCTGGTAAGTGCAGAACACTTCAGTAAAAATTAAGATTCCCTCCCTCTGTTTCTCTCCTTATGTTTGTTATGTTTGGCCAAATATACAACATAGTTGTAAAATGTACAATACAAACATCTGCGTGTTTTCAGCAAGACACTTGAGAATTCCTCAGTGTGAAATGTTTGTCTGACATGCATCAGGGAAAGAAGAAACAACCCATTTTTATCAGTTTCACTGCAGAGAACAGCAAGGAACCTTATGGATGCTCTTGCTCAGATTGCTTTGCTTGCTTCAGAGATATCCATGCTTAATTTTCTCTGCCAACAAAAAGCCTTTGAAGTGAACTAATAAGGACTGTTAATAAGTAGATCTAATATGCCTGGATACTCAAGCCTAGAATTATACATCACAGTGTCCAGCAGCCAACAGTAGTAAATCTGTTAACACAGTTCCAAAATATCCCTTGCAAAACAAAGGTAGGGTTAAGTGACATCATCTGGTGATATTTAAGTGTTTTTAGAGTTGTCTCTCCTCAGTTCTTGCTTCATCACTGAGAAGGACCTCAAAAAAATCATCAAGGAAACTCCCTGGCCCCAATATCAGGACAAACTGTACCAAATTCAGTCTCAGTAGATGCCAGCTGGCCTGCTCTTGCAGAACACCAGTGATGGAGGTTCCCCCATCTTCCCAGGGTGTCACTTCTCCTGTTGTTGAAGGGGGTTTCCCAAGGTCTGAGCCACAGCATCTGTGTTGCAGTTCAAGCCTGTAACTTCTTGTCAGACCCCTTGGAGGATAAGGGCCTGGAAAACATCCTGCCTTCCTCCCTGCAGTCTGCTTCAGTGGTGTTTTAAAGGCAGGGTGCCCAACTCAGATGTGTAAATGAGCTATTTCTGAGTTCAGGGCACCCTCTCAAACACAGGTCCCCCTTTAATATTGACTCCTCCCTCCCACCTCACCATGCCCTGTTTCAGCATTTCCAAACCTTCACTCCTGTCATCTTTCTTTCCCTAAATCATCCACCCACATAATCCCTTCCCCCAGACGTAATCTCTGCCACCCAACCCCATGCCTGACCCCCTCTCACCCCCAAACCTGACCCTTACAACATACACACTGCTTTGGTGTCAGCAGCCAGCTGCACCAAGGAGGTTTTGGGTGCTGGGGGGTAGAAGTGATGCACCCTCAGCAGGGAAGCTGTGGGCAGAGCTGCCCTGGCCCTCTTGGTGTCACTGTGCTTTCTGCATCACTTGTCAGTCTGGTCACACCTCCCCCTTGCTCATCAGGAGGAGAGGCTGCCTTTTCTGAAAGTCTAATACGGTCCCGATGTATCTGAAGTGACCCTTGAGTTTTAAATGTCTAATGAATGTGTCACTGGAGGTATCTGGCCAGGCTGGTTTGCCATCTGTGTGTGTTTGTTGAGAGGGTGTCACCGATAGCAGCAATTAAATGTGATTTCTATGGCATGCATGCTTTGAGAAACACTGCTTTTGGTCCCCCTCTTAATTTTTTTCATCTCAAAATAATGATGGCAGTCTTTTTCTTATCAGTGTTTCCCCTTCTTGTGATTTACCTGGTGTTACTTATAATTTTTCATAGTTAAAAAAATCCCGAGTGATTATTAAAGCATTAGGGCTTGAATATGTGTCTGCAGTCAGTGGGTAAAGTGCAACATGTGGGTATCCACAGGGCTGGGACTGGTTGGTCCTCAGAGAAAAGGTCCCTTTAGACAACATCCACCTGTTATAAATACGAATACTGAAGTCTGTATGTGGTAGAATGTACTTTAAAAAAATGACCTTTCTTCCACACAACCTCCCATTTTTCTCTCTCTCTTTTAATCCCGCAGTTATTGCAGTAGAGAAGAAGCACGTCGTCAGTAAACTTGGAGACAACGCTACACTGAGCTGCACTTATAACAAAAGAGACTTGCAATTAAAAAATCTACGGGTATATTGGCAAATCGCCGGTCAAGTCACGTGTTCAGTTGTGCACACACTGATCGCTGGTCGAGACAACTACAGTAATCAGTGTATTCACTTTAAAAACAGGACTCAATTATTTGGGGACAGATTGGAAAATGGTGATTTTTCTCTACTGCTATTGAATGTCAGGCAGAGTGATAACCATACGTACCAATGTATAGTACAGGAGAAAAGAGAACTTACCAAAGTGGTTCACCAGGAAGAAGTGGTCCTCAGTTTAGCAGGTGAGAACTTGTGCCACTTGCATATATTTGCCCAAATTCTCGTTTCAGTTTTTCAAATTCATACTATTTCAATGTTATATTTAAGCACACCCTCAGAAACATACTTCAGCCCTTTGCTGTAACGTTGTCTGCTTAACTTAAATGTTACAGACAGGGAATCAAAACCTGGGAGAATACCTGCAACAACTATTTACCCAGTGTGTGTTTCTTTTCATCTTGTTTTTCATTAATATAAAGGCTCTTACGTCTGACTGGGTGACAGCAGCTTAAGAAGTTGCTTTCTTCCTTTGGGTTTGGCTTTAGCTTTCTGCCCTTTCAGTAATTTTCTCAGGTCTCTGGGCTTACACACCAAACCTGCAGGTGTTTCCCTTGCAAGTTAGGAAGGTTATGTGAAACCCAGAAGTTCTGCTTCAGAGCCCTCGTCAGAATTTTGTCTTCTCAATATGTTTCAAAATATCGACGACTATTTCTTCTTCTCTTGCTCTCCAGCTAGCTACAGCCAACCAATACTCAGTGGACCAATAAGAAACAGCACTGGGGAGGAGGTGACTTTCAGCTGCAGGTCTGGCAATGGATACCCAAAGCCCAAAGTCTACTGGATTAATAAAATGAACAACAGTCTCCTGAATGCAACAACGCTGAAGTTCCACTCCCACGCCGACGGCACCTACAGCGTTTTCAGCACCCTGACGGTGAAAGCCACTTCCAACATGCAAATAGAGTGCTCCATAGAAAATGAAATGCTGCAGGAAAATCTGTCAGCCAACTGTAAGTTGTTTCATGCTGCTTCATGTTTTCTAGATAGCAGGAACACCAACCAGTGTGTCTCTGTCTGTAGATACATGCTGACGAGGGCTATGCGTTAATTCAGTAGTTCCAAGAGGTGCTCAGGTTTTGTTTCAAGCTAGTTATGCCTAGCCAGGCACTTTATGTTTACTTCTTCCACACTGAAGTGAATACCCCATCAAGTGTATGATGCTAACAGCACTGAGGAGCTCTTGCATGCAAGGCAGTCACTGTGCTTTACCCTTTAGTTCTTCAGGAACATGGTGACCTGGGGAATTAAGTTATTTTTCAAGGGCCACCATGCAGTAGATCCATGATTTCTGACCTCCTACCCAGCTGCTTTGCAGCACTCATATTTACTTTTTACTCTGCCTGGTTTCAAAGTTCAGCTTTCAGTCTCCAAAACTCAGTTCAGTGCAGTGCACTATTTAAAGCAGGCCTGAAGCAAATGGGTAATGTTAGCTGAATAGAAAAATACACCTAATAGCACAAGTATCATATGCTATTTATTACTGATGTGAGTGATCAATAGGAAAAGCAAGTATTTAGCCACTCAACACTTCACAAAACCAGAAAACTATTAAAAAAAAAAAAAAAGGTATAAAGTTAGAGCTATAGTACCACTGAGGAGTTCGTTATTTACAAAAAAAACGGTGTAGAGAAGCTGTCTGGAGTGGGAAGGCTTACCTAGAGGTGGCTCTTTGATCTCATTGATGTTCCTGGTCCTTTCTCCAGCCACCCCTTTCTCTCCAGGTTTCTGCACCCTGGTGCAAGGAGGTTGGATTGTTTGCATAACTGTAGCTGGATACCCACAAGTTGTGTACCTGAACACCCCAAGGAATCACATACTCTGGACTTAACAACACTGATCCCACAAACATGGGCAAACTACGTAAACTATTTCCAGGAACAAAAAATGTGCACATGAGCAAAAGTAGAGGGTTTATATGATAATATACCGCGCTCTCATCCCAAATTAAAGGAAAACTGAGTAACCTTGTCATGAGTTTCCTAATGACATTCTGTCATATAGTCTTCTGGGGGAAAAGAGCTTCATATTACTATTTTTTTGTTGTTTTTAAAAGCACATTACACTTAAAATAGTAAGAGATGCAATTTAAAACCTTCAATTTGCAGCAGTAGGTAAAGATTCTCGATTAATTTCAGGGAAACAGGTTTTCACTCACTTTTCTGAATACATTCAGATTTACATTATAGATTCTCTATAGATTTATTTTTAACTGAGTCTAGGCACAAGCCCAAACACAAAGTCTCTCAAGACTGTCAGAAAAGAAGAACAAGAAGGAAGAAAGAAGGTTGGATGCAGTGTGGTGACAGGGAAGAGTAAACTAGTATTGTATTATAACTATTAGCTGGAGATGTGCCTCACTCAGAAGAAATCACCAGCATCACAGTGATACAAACAACACAAATATTTAGTCCTTCCAAATTTTTTATACACTTAAAATCTGGTGAAATATTTGCCTGGTATGAAATGGGAACATTTACGCCTTATTAAATGTCCTTTCTATTTTATTCTAGACACAGAGCAGAAGCAAAGCATTGGTTCTAGCACAGAAAACCTAGGAAAAAAGGGACGAGTTGCTCAAGCAGCTGGCATCATCTGCATTGTCATTCTGATAGGCCTTCTAGCTGTTTTGTTCTGCTGGCTGTGGAGACGGAGGTCCTCCCGTCTGGTGTCCTACACAGGTACTGAGACATTTCATTTCCATGACCAAATACCTTAAGAATTCCTTTTCACTTACAAATGTACTTAATGTTGTCCAGTGTGTCACTGGAAGGCACAGCTAAGCTGCCTGCACGCAGGGAAATGCACACACTGCAGGAAATCATGCTGTTACCAAAAACCTGTGGTGCCCTGGGGACGACACACAGTGCCCCAGGGCACGTTATTCTTTATGGTTTTCTGCTCTTGGCCTGAGCCTCACGGGAGTTAGCTGGATGTGAGAGTAACTCAGGCTTTGTGCCTGTTCAGGCCATAGTTTGTCAGCTGTGATTCCTTCTGGCTGTTTCTGGACAGATGGAGGGGATGCTCCTCCATGGAACAGGATTGGGGTCAGTAGCTCGCTCTGCTTAGCACAGTCTGAAGCAGAAATCAGAGCATGATTCAATCCTAAGAGCTTAAGAGTCACTGGCTGGACAATTAAGGGTCAGGATCCCACTGGGATCAAGCAGCTTTCTACATGTCAGAAATACAGCTTCTCTCACTGTCACAGGAGTACCCTGGTGTTGTTGCATTTGCCCACGTGCATGACACCAATGCTTGGCATAACAGAACAAAAGGGAGCTCTAAAAGAGGTCCTGTGAATCAGACTGAGTCTGTCTGCCAACATATCTGAGTACTTGCTGTAAGCCCCTTTACAGCTGTACAGGAGCTAACACCTGAGAAGAGGGAGCAGGGACAACCAGACTTTTCATGGACAAGGACAATCCTCATTTTCAATCCACGCCCTCTTCCTCCATGCTAGCAAGCCTGGGTGCCTCAAAAAAGAGCAGGAGAAAGCAGGGTAGTGATCTCTTCCAGCATCTGCAGCAGCTGTTCTAGAAGTTGCGTCCTTCCCTCAGAAACAACCCAAGGAGGGTGCAGGACTCCGCTACTACCTCATTATTTTATTACCCAAATCTGTCCTTCCTGAACTAGTCAGCTATATTGTAATAAAATGCAGTAAGGCCTGCATTTTGCTCTTCAAAGAGCATTTAGCCCATTGAACACCCAGCTTTGGTGGATGTTGCTTAATATTGATCTCATTTGGATAAATGCTGTAGTTATCTACCCTACATGCTTAAACCTGTAAATTTGTTTCAACAGATGTCCCACCAAATGAATACAAAGGAGGACTCAACCGTAAGTATTAAAAACATATTACTGTATTTATCTCAAAAGTGACTTAACTTCAGAGCTTTGGTACTCAAGGTCAGCACAAAGCTTTTAGATGAGACTTGTTGGATGTTATAAGCTCAAGCATTCTTCTTCTGCCAGCCCTTTCCTCGAGGTCCGTAAATGTCGGCAAAGGCAGCCTGAGAGTCTTAGTTCCCAAAAGTTCCTTCAACGGTTCAGGCCAAAGGACATGACAAATCAACAGGGAACATGGAGCAATCAACAGGGAACAGGGAGGTTGAAGCCACCCTCCCTTCTTGTTCTCTAACTATGCCAAAACTTCATTGACACAAAGACAGCATCAAACTTGGAAAATCTATCTTAAATGCTGATTTTCAAGTCTGGGCAACACTGACCATTTACCACTTCACATCATCTCAGTGCATATCACCAGCTTCCTTGCCTTTTTAGGCACAGCATCCTAGAAGGTCTTTAACTGGGATACAGGAACATCATTTTCTTTATGCCTATGAACCTGAGCCTTTATACACCCAACTAAAATAAAGTACTCTCCTAGAAAAAAACTACACACTTCAAACCTTCAACATGTTCATATTTTTAATAAGCAATAATGCAACACTGCAGGCCAGCTGTTTTACAAATTCATTTACCATTTATAGTGGGAGAAAAATAAAAGTAGGGGAAAAAAATGAAGACAGATTTGGAAAAACAAACTCAGAACGGGGGACTTGGAGAGTATAGAGAGATTGAAATATCTGCCTATTTCATATTTCCTTTGGTAGTTTCTGCTTGAGCAGGTGACTGTTGCCTGTGTGTCTCTGCAGAACAGGCAGAAAATATTGTGATTTCGTGAAAGCTGTAATAGTTAAAGCATGTAGCTTTAACTCACAGCTGTAGCAGATGCTGCGACTGTACCCAATTCATAGTATCAAGCAAAAGCAAAATAATCTTGTAAACTAACAAACTTGTTCTGGAACTTCTTTGGTGGTCATGGAAACTGGGTTAATGGTCAGTTATTTTCCAGACCACAGCCTGATCCCCAACAACAGGCTAAACAACAACAGGCATTGCACTGCTTTCAGCAGAGCATAATGTAGGGAAGAGGATGGATTTTCTCCTTAAAATAAAGAGAGTTTCTCATTTTGTTCCTGTGGACTACATTAACAGAACACAAGCAGTTCATTTAAGGTCAACTTCCTTTACAGACTTACTTACACAAGGCCCTTGACTTTGCTCATAAATAGAAAAATCTCTGTGTCATAAATAAGAGTAAATATTTGTCTTATTTTGAAGGCTGTTGTAGCATGAGTTGTTCATTAAAAACAAAGCAAAGACACTTGCCTTCCAGACACTATCTTTTCCTTGGCATGTCTCCACACCTTTTGTGGAAGAGGAGGTGGGTCAGCAGCTTTGGTGGCTCACTGCTATCAGAAGCTGTCCCACCATCTTCTGGGTATCCCCATTTAAGGGCAACTTGGACAAATGCCAATGAAATGAGAGTGATCTAGGGACCTGATGGAAGATTGGTTATGTTTGTTTAGGCTGGAGAAGGCAAGGCTGATTAAGGACACAATAAATAACCCTCTTCAGAGTGCCCTTAGAGAGGATGGGACAAGTTATTTATTGTGCTAACCCAGATGACACAGCACTTAAGGCCCAACAGACTTAAACAAAGGAGATTTAGGCTGGATGTTAAGAAAAAATATGTAATGTTGAGCACTGGGACAGAGAGTTTGTCCAGGCTGTCAAGACTCCATCACTCTCACTTTGTTGCCATTCTGTTTTGTTTTTTTTTTAACAAAAGAGAAAACCAGTATCTGTCAGAAATTATTTAGAAATATAGCTGGTACTACCTTGGGAAAAAAAGATAGCTCTTGGAGAAACTCCAGCCCAATTCGATCATTATTTGGTATTTTCAAGCAGGCTGTGTGTGGTAGATGGGGAGGGAGGCACTGTGGAGGTGCAGCCAGGGGGATGCTCTGCCATGCATTTTGCTTTTCAACACTGATGGAATGTGCTTCTGGTGGTTTCACCTTATGAAGAAGGTCAGATTGCTTCACGGGCAGTGAGAATCCTAAACACTGCAAACCAAAACCAGATTACTGAAACTAGCTTTTCTGTTAAAAGGAAAAAAAAAAAAAAAAAAAAAAAAAAAGGTTTGGGAACTGTGAGGAAGGCAGGTTGTAAAGAAGAGTAACTCCATCCCAGTGGGGGGTTAGTCTCTCCAGACACCCATTATAGAGTAAGGCAGAGTGCACTGGTGAGGAGAAAGTCAGAGCTAGGGCAATTCTGAATTGCTCTCTGGAGGGATCCCCTCACTTCCTGAGAGGAACCTTGGACAGCTGTTTTCCCTTGACCACAGACAAGATTTGTGCTTCTCAGTCTCTGAAGTAGTTTAAAATGAACCCATGGTGACACTGGCATCCCCTCACAAGGGAGGGGGATGTTGGCAGGAGTGTCCTTTTTGCATTTGCACGGAGAGGCACTTCAAGACTGTGGAACAAGGACAGAAATCCCCCATTTCTTGGGTACCCAGGCAGAGACACCAGCCAGTTCTCTTTCAGCATCATGAATACCTCTTTACCATAGCTTTGCAGCTTCTCCCACTGATTAGGTAGAAAAAACAATGCTAGGGCATGATTATTTTGTGGGGAGGTTTTTGGTTTGGGGTTTTTGGGGTTTTTTGTTTGTTTGTTTGTTTGTTTTTGTGAAAAGAAATTGTTCTGTTTTTACAGCACCTGCCTAAATGGAAAGTTTGCCAACAATTTGGGCAGCTGGAGGAGATGTGTCAAGAGAAGCATCATTCCCTGTCTCAGTGGCAGCATTGTTTGTAATACAAGTGACAGATTTCTGCCAAGAGAGATGGCAAAAAAAAAAAAAAAAACCACCAAAAACAACAAAAAAAAACCCCACAACCAACTAAAAAAAGCTTCTCCAACACAAGAGACAGGAAAATGTGCAGGATTTTCATTTCAGCCACTGACTGTGTCCACACAGCAGCTGTGTCACCACTCCAGTTAAGCACCTGGAACAGTCCTCTGTGATTGTCAGGGATCTGAGTACCTGCACTGAGGAATGCAGTGAGCCTGGGACTCAACTGCTCTGGGCAAGAGCACTGGAAGTTGGTGGCTGTCCAGTCTCTCATCATCATCTGTGAGGACTTTGCTGGGAGCAGAAGCAGCTGCATTTCAGGAGCATGGGAAGTTCTCACTGTGTCACCTCACCATGATGATGACTGCTGGATGTGAAGAAAGGCAGCTAAAATAAAGAAATAAAACCAAAGGACTCTGCAAAGTGAGAATTGTAACCCTTTCCATGTTTCTCTCTCTACAGTACATCCTTTTCATTGTCTGTTTTCACCAGCTGCATGTTATTGTGTACAGAACCAGGCAGAACATTTTGACCCAGTACTCCAAAAATGACGAGTATAAGCACTGAATGTTTTAACATAAGAGTGCCTTCTTTAAATGCACTTAATAGCAACATTTTATTTTTTACCAGATGTTCCACTGAAATGGGGATTTTCACTTTTTACAAGAGTCAGAGCATACGGTGTGAGAGAACAAGCTGTGGAATTCTGACCAATTAAAAATAGTGCTTTCTGTTATGTTAACGTTGGGTTATTTGGCATTTGGCATTGGCAACATTTGCCATTTGGCAACAGTGCAGCAGCTAGCTTTTGTCAAAGCAATACCCCAAGGAGGCTCCAAGCTGGATAGTTGTGCTTCTCTTGCGTTCATGAGAGGTGTTAGATATTTTCTGAGTCCAGATCCGGTCTTCAGTGAACCCTAAAGGCAACTTGCTTGAAGAGAGCTTGCAGACACCTTAAAAATGTGAATAACACCCCTGCAGATGTGCAGGGTAACCATTTCCTAGTGGTTCAGTAAGAAGTCCTGCAGACCTTTCCTTGCTATCTATCACATGAAGTTGTTTTGTGCGGCCTCTTTGGTGCTGCTCTAACTGACAGAATCCTTTTCCCCAAACAATTTTCCAGCTTTTATATTCTACAACTGCAAGAAGAACTACAACAGCTCAGAGATGTAAGAAGTGACCGAGCAGTTACTCCACAACATGTTGTTAAACTAATCTAGACTGGTTGGACTTTCTTACCTCTGTGCCACTTCATGGATACATCTAAATGCAAAAGCCTATTCTTGCAAAATCTGTGCTTTCAGTTGGTTTGGGCTTCCAGCTATTTTTAGAGGGTCCTAGATGGCAGTTGCTTGTTTCCCTTCGAAGGATGTACGAGTTTTGTAATAACAGAAGTTTTGTCTTCACGTGCCATGTTTATATTTTAAATAAAATCCATTCCCTCTTCTGGGTGTTTGACTAAATCTACCAGCACGCAAATACAAGTCACTCCAGACCGTTGCCCCCAACCAAAGTGGCAGTTTTACTTTCAGGCACATCCCCCACGGCACACGAGTGCTCCTTTCCAAAGCCCTCAGATGAGGAAAGACCAACAGCAACACAGACTTGACCACCTTTGCTTTTTTTTTTTTTTTCGTCTCCCACAACAAAATACCTTGAGCAGACTCAGTGGAAGCCATGCAGTAGCCTGAAGGTAGCACTAAGCCTGGGCTGATACAGCCATTTCTCACCCAAATTTACAACCCCAAGCAGAGCAGAGGTACAACACTCCTGCTTCCAGAATTGAAACCAGCTCATTGCGCTGTCCCAGTTCAGTGCTGCACCTGAGCACCAGCATCCCTCTGTCTGTCTTCATTAAAGGTAGCAGCTCACATGAATTGCATATCCCAAGAAAGTTAAATACATGCACAGGAGAGCAACACTTGATGCAGGTCTGGAGCAAGACTCTAAGAAACGGACTCACTTTCACAGAAAAGTGAAAGACAGTTGTTGTGGCGTGGCTGGTAAACCACAAATGGAAAGTCCCAAGAGAAAACATGTGTTGCTACTTAGTGATCTGAATCCATCTGTCCCGTAGTCAAATTTATTTTCTAAATCTTTTTACCTGTGAGAGCTAAAATATCTCTTTCGCTCAAAAAAGCACTCTCTTCTTCCTCTTTAGCAACCCTGACTCCAGACACTTTTCTCAGTAGCCCCTTGTGCTGTAACAAAGAAAATTTATTAGTTGCTTTTCCAACTTGAAAAGTGTATCTTTCTCGTATTTGTAGCAAACATACAAAAAAGTTCACGTTTCCCCATAAGTGCAAGCTCTCTAACCTCTCTTTTTTTCCAGAGGAAGAGAAACTGCTCTATAGAATAATTGAGTACAGCACAGCTCCACAGGGAGAGAACACCCCCACCCTCTACAGATGTTGGTTAGCCTCCTGGGACTTTTCCTCTCAGTGTGTGGTGGGCATTAGGACCTTCACCACAATGATATGGGATGAAATCACTGTAATCTGGTCACCATTTGAGGATTATTATGGAGCTCCTGGAGCAAGTCCAGAACAGGGCTACAAAGACGATTAGAGAACTGGAGCACCTCATTTACAAGGAAAAGCTGAGGGAGCTGGGCCTGTTCACCTCAAGAAAAGATGACTGAGAGGTGACTCCATCAGTATATATAAGTATTGGAAAGGGAGGTGTCAGAGGATAAATCCAGGCTCTGCTCAGTGGTTTCAAGCAATAGGACAAGAGGTACCAGGCAGGAACTGATGCACATGAACTTGAGGAAGAACTTCTTTTCAGTGAAAGTGACTGAGCACTGGAACAGATTGCCTAGAGAGGTTATAGAGATCTCTTCCCTGAAGATATTCAAAAGCCATCTGGACACAATCCTGAGTAATGTGCTCCTGGGAACCCTGCAGGAGCAGGGAGGTTGGACTAGATGACCTCCAATGGTCCCTCCCAAACTTACCCACTCTGTGGTTACAGAAGGCACCCCCACAGTGTTCTTTGAGGTGATCTCTGCATCTGGCATTCCAGGGAATTACAGGCCACAGACCAGCAGCTTCTGTCTCATCCATCATTCAAGACACACTTAGGTGACAACAGGTCAATTTGTACAATCACCTTCCAACACTTCATGCCTTATCAGCACCACTAACAAGCATAAGCACTGTATCTGAACCAATGCCCCCTGCTGCAAAAATGCAAGTCCTTGGCAACTATTCATGTGACCTTACTATTAATCACAAACTCTTTGTTTGTACATTGTTAGGAGAGAGCCTGTCTCCCATTTTAGTTTGGCACAGAAAATTGCTGTGTAGAGATAGATGCTCGTGTATCACCAGAGACTTAAGCTGACCCTCCAACTTGCCCAAAATAGGTCCCAAGTGTTTAGTAATAAATTACTAATTTGTTTTCCTGTGATTCCAAGAGGTGCTGGTTAGGATGATTTTACAATTGAAAAGCTTGGACACAGACGTCATGCCCAGAGCCACACAAGGCTGTAGATGACTTGGTGCTTGTACTCACATCTCCAGCATGCAGACACCTTCTTTCACTTGCTGGACTGGTAAGTCCAGTCCTTTGCATTATTCACCCCAGTAGGTATCATAAGTCAACAGAAGCTGTTTGCTAATTTTGAATAGGATTACACTGCAGGGAAAGAAAAAAAGTACGCCCTTAAAAAAAAAAAAAAAAAAAAGATAAAAAAGATATCTCTCAGGTCAGACCAGGAATCTTTTAAGAATGTGTCAGTAAGAAGCAACACTAACACAGTTACTACGTGGACAGAGAGTGACTGCTAACTGCTAATTCCTTCTTAACTTCTTCTGGCAGATCTGTGCTATCACATGTCATCCCTCTTAGGAGGCTGAGAGTGCAGTTTTGAAATTAGACCAAATTCACTTGCAAAAACAACTTTTCCACAGCATCATGCTGGACTAGAAGCAATTCTATCCCTCTCAATTAATCTCTTTATCAGTCAGACTTACTACAAGTTTTAAAATACACCACTACTGCAGTTATCATAACAAAAAATAGATCAAAGGATAGAGGTGCAACTGTGTCTGAACTGTAGCTGCTTTTATAACACTAGGCAAACACAAAATATCTTTATCATCTTGTTATGAGTCTTATTAACCAGTTTAGATTAAACTGAGTTTGGTCAAACTCTGTGTCGGCAAAGTACCAGAAGTCTTATCACAAGCCTGGTCTTTCAGATCTCTTTCTTTATTTTTCTATACGTATGTTCGTGCTTTTATCTGGCTCTACCTGCAGCACAGAGGGTTGCTCTCTTATTTAGGATATATTATTGAATTATCTCATCCATATCATGAGAAACCTGTGTGGGTTCCTGACCTACTGAACAAGGCAAGAGGGCTGGCCAGATAATGACTGTCCATTCCAGAAAAATGTATTGACTCTTTCTACACAGGGTGAGGCAGGGAGGCAGCACTCCAGGGATGTCTCTTGCACTCCTGCCATCAGCTGACATGAAGAGAGTGCCCAGGACCTGAAGAAGATGAGGAAGTGCCTTTAGAGACAGGCAAACCTCCAGGGGTCCCTGTCCAGTGTGAGCTGTGGTGCCAGGTCTCTGCCCAGAAGGCGGGGACCCTATCAGGAACCCTGGCACACCAGGGCACAGCTCAGCTCTGAGGGGTAGAAGAGCCTTTGAGTAGGAAAAAGTAAATAAATAAATAAGTAAACACTGAATTTGACATAGCTGCCCTGTTTAGCTTCAGATTATTTCTTTATTTATTTAAAGTTGAATTTTTCACAACAACCATGAAGCAGGCAGCTGCCTGCCATGGTATTTCTCATGGAACAATTTGAACCAGCTGAGAGCTGGAACAAGAAAAGGAAACAAATTTAATATCTTTTAATCTGCTCCAGCCCAGTGACCTTTGCTAGTCCTCAGGAGATGAAGCTCTGGGGGGTTTTATTTTATTTATTTATTTAATTTTAAATTATTATTTGAAGTAGCTCTTAAGTAGAGCTTCCATTAACAAACATATGCTCTGGCATA